CAGAGTAGTAATTTTACTAGTAAGAGTCTTACAATACCTACATTATGTTTTCCAATGATAAAATTTCCCTTATTCTTTTTTAAAAAGACAATGGATGATTTTGCCATTTTATTGAAATACTTTTGACTTTCTCTAAACCAGTGGTTTTCAACCAGTTGAACTCCCCCTTATACCCCACTCACATTTGCCAATATCTGGAGACAGTTTTGGTTGTCACAGTTTGAGGAAGGGTGCTGCTGGCTTCAGATGGGTAGAAGCTAGAAATGTTGCTGAACACCCTCCGGTGCACAGAACAGTCTCCTCATAGCAAAGGATTATTTTGCCCAGGGTATCAACAGTGCTGAAACTGAAACCCCATTCTGTTGGTGAAACCCTACTGTATTTGGATGAAAGGCACATACATGGGCTCTCATTCTGTGGGCTTTATTATTTGTGTTTCTTTAGAGTATATCGTCTTTGTTATGGCTCCTTAAGAAAGCTGGAAGAAATGATTAAGCTTTAATTACCAGGGAACATAATTTTAATGGGTTTGATGTTCTATTAAGGAAGCAAAGATTTTTTATTTCCCTTGTTGAAAGAAGCTATTTGGCAAATTAGTTACAAGACAACTATTGGTTATCTGAAGGTTCTTGTTGCTTTTTCAAGAATCTGTATTATAAATATGAAGGGAGAGGATGAAAACTGGAGCTGTCATCTTGCACTCACCATAAACAACTTGAGATCTGAAATCTTTTGTCACAATCGTAATTGTACACAGCTGCTTTCAATACAAGCAACTAGCATGATGGCCAGTGCCAGGATAGAACAGGCTCTCAATAAATCTTTGATGGGAAGATGGATAAATGTAAGATTTACCTGTCATGGCCACAGATAGTGCGCCTTGCAAGTCAGGTGACATGCCTGATCATTTACCTGCAGGCCCTTTTCAAGTTTGCTCTCAAACTTCAGTGGAAGTCCTGCCACCCCTTGCCCCCTCTTCTAAGAGTATAATAGTAATAGTAGGAAAGTTTACTGACACTTGGTGTAAGTTAGTCGGGCTAACTTACTTAAAATATATAGGTACACTTCTGTTTTACAGGTAAGAAAACTGCGTGTGTGTTGCACCGCAAAGCTGTGCATTTAACTGTTGCAAAGTATCTGATAGTATAATTTTGTCCTTGAGAGTTGGACTACCTAAGTTTGAATTCTGGGTGTTAATTATCCTCTTGAGAAAGTTACTTAACCTCTCCCCCAGTTCTAAAATATGCCTAATAGTGTGTCTTAAAGAGTTTGTGGTCTGTTTGGAAAGAAAAGAAGACAGACTTGAAATCTGACAGACATACCAAGTATTTGGGCTAAATGATATAATAGGGATTATAGATGTAAACAGATTATAGGGGTGAAGTATACTTAAAATTGCTACTTAAAATTTTTCTTTAGAAAGTAAAATAAAATTTTTCTTTCCAAGTATACAGCAGCTTTTCAAGTTTCTATGCCAAGAACTGGACTTCTCCACCAGTTTTGTGAAGATACTGGCCTTCTGACTTTGCTCTTAGTTTCTTGTCCACCCTGAACTCGATGATTAATCACCTGAGTAACGCCTCAAATACCTTATCATCATTACCGTTTCCAGGCTGTACCTCTTATCCAGTACCCAGCAGTTTTGAGAATATGCTCTCTGTATTCCCAGCTTTGGAGTGCTAGAGGTAATTGGCACCATCATTTATGGATTCTACCATTAGCTGGTCCTTTGATGGTGATCTTCAGTCATTTTACTTGTCCATTGTCAGCTGCTTTTTGCCATTCCTTGAGGGTGTTGCCAGATATTTATGGCTCTTTTCTTACCATTAGATGTTACGGCGGCCTCTCATTTTACAAATAATTTGTAAATGGTGTTCTGTTAGCTGGCATCCGTTAGACTTCTTGCTAAAAATAAAGTGACCTTGACCTCTGCAGCATCTCACCTTTTGATTCTTACCCTCTTTCAAGGTTGTCTCCTTCCATAGCATCTAATAAACAGTCTCATTTCTACCCCTTTCTGGTTCTTCACCATTTTATACATTTTCTTCTTGACTCTCCTGTCACTGTGCTTTCTTTCTGGGAGATTTCATTCAGTGTGGTGGCTTCATGTGTGAACTATATACCAGCAGACCCCACTTTTGTTCCCCAGACCTATCTCTGGAACTGCAGATGGGAATTTCCAACAGCCTATTGAATACTTAGAGCCTGGAGGTCAGGGACACTTCAGAATTCACATTTGTCAAACAGAATCTATTAAGCTACACCCACTTTTCCCGGACCAAAAGATACAGTTAGCAAGTCTTTCCGTCTTCCCTCCTACTGTCTTCTGTTACCTCCCTTTCAATGTGTCAGCATTTTTTTCAAGTTTGTTTTGTCTCAGTGCTTTCTAATCCTTTCTCTGTTCCACCACTAAAAGGGAAATTAATTGAATGTTTAAAAAACCTTAAGATCTCTCATTGCCTTTTTGTCTAGATTGAAAATCCAGTGTTTTTCTTTAATGGGGTTTGGGTAAAATTAAATGATCTTTTCCCCATTCTCAAAGAGAAGGATTTTATGTTATTTACTTATTTATTTACATTTATATTTTTTCCCCAGGTCCCTTAAAAATTGTATTACTTGCTACCACTTTTATCATCATCTGTCATAGAGTGATATTTGAATTAACTTAAACTTGCAGAATTAGTATCTTGTAAGTTTACAAATGTCAACTTTTTTTTTTTTTTAAGATTTTATTTATTTATTTGGCAGAGAGAGACACAGCGAGAGAGGAACACAAGCAGGGGGAGTGGGAGAGGGAGAAGCAGGCTTCCTGCCAAGCAGGGAGCCCGATGCAGGGCTCGATCCCAGGACCCTGGGATCATGACCTGAGCCGAAGGCAGACGCTTAACGACTGAGCCACCCAGGCGCCCCAAAATGTCAACATTTTCAAGGGGTTTGACAAGCCTTTCACACCTGGACTCAACCCAGTGTGTCCCGTTTCCTCACTGCCACGGCTCACTTTCCACTCCTAACATGAACTGCATGCAACACACTGGGCAAGACATTCAAAGTGGTTTTAAGAATCTTCTTACCTTTCTGGTTTATGAGGATTAAATGAAACAGTACACATCAAATGCTTAGTTCAGGGCCTGGCACATAGTAAATACTCAAGAAATACCGGTTGCTGCTTTGTTGTTGTGTTGATCTTATTCCTCAGCCTGAATCTCCGTGTACCTGAATGTGCAAGGTCTCTGGTGTCTTTATATGTACTGCTCCCAGATGCTGGAATGCCTTCATCTTTCCTCGTCCCACTTCCTATGCCTACTCCTCTTCCTTTTTGAATTTAACTCTTCTAAGAAATTTTTCCTAGCGTGTACAGTTAACCCTTGAACAGTAACATGGGTTTGAACTGCATGGGTCCACTTATATGTGGGTTTTTTTCCATAAATGCAGTACAGTACTGTAAGTGGATTTTCCTTATGATTTTAATAACATTTTCTTTCTCTAGCTTACTGTATTATAAGAATCTTATGTATAATACATATACAAAGTATGTGTTAATCTACTGTTATCGGTAAGGCTTCTTGTCCACAGGAGGCTATTAGTAGTTAAGTTTGGGAGGAGTCGAAAATTGTATGCAGATTTCTGACTGTGCAGGGTGCTGGCTCCCCCAACCTCCACGTCGTTCAAGAGTTAACTGTAGTTCTTTATCACCCTTCCCCTCCTTGACACAAATATTCCCTTGGTGGTGCTTTTTGTTCATACTTCTGAGTCGTGTATTTTATTACAATTTGTTTTCCAAACTCTTCGCTTGACTTTTAAGCTCCTTGTCAGCAGTAGGGAATCATTCTCAAGCTATTGGATCTCAGTGTTACCTGCCCTGCCTCGCAGCTAACAGGTTTTCAGTCAGTAGCCACACAGGCTGCCATCTAGATTATCTCATTAATCCCCACAACCACTCTGTGTTAGGGCTGCATTATTAAATGACTGGGTGAGGTGAAATGATTTGCCCCAAGCCACTTTCTAAGTGCTACAAGTCTAGAACTCCCCACATTTAATAATGTACCGTTACTGCATGGCTGTCCTCTTATACATTTGTCTTTTATTTACAATTAAATAAAATAGCATTTAATGCATTAAAAGTGCTTTTTGATTGTTTTTGCTTTAATTTCATAATGCATAAAACATCTCAAGAATTGGGATTGCAGATTCAGAATTGTTTGATCTATGTAGACTTTGTATACTCTCGTATTGCTTAGCAAAATAAGAGAATAAATATTTCAGACAGTGGACTTTTTATGCACTTTATGCATAATAGGCAGTTGAAGTAGTTTGTACTTGAATTAACACTATTTTTTTCCAAAATTTAATTTAGTTTTACACTAACTTGAATTAACCTTTATTAAATTTTATTATGTCTTCAGTAACATCCTTCAGGGTAATTGTGTGTTTGTATATAAATGGTAGCCTTTTCATAGTCTTTATGTAAGGCTGTTATTTTTAAGAACATGTAATAATAATAGTGTAATAAGTTTGGGTGACCTAATGATTTGTTAGGGCTTTGTATTCATTGGAAAATGCTGATTGTAGTAGCTGGGGGAAGGAATGGCACTGGTGGTGGTGGGGAATTAGATTATTAAATATAAAAGTGTTGCACGTCATTAATTTTACAGACAGTTGAAAGCAAAGTAAACAATGTATATAATGATTCTAGTTATTCTATAGAAGTTGTAATTGTGATTTAATTCAGTTACATCATAAATTCCAAGAATGAGGGACAGTTTCTTCTTTTTTGGGGGGGAGTTTCTTCTTTTAAAGAATAAAATACAGAGTTGAAGATGAACAATATTTATTTCCCCATTGTATAATCTTTAAATTTAGTTATTGGATTTGTTTTGCTTTTTTGTTTTCATTTTTATATCTGCTTATTTAAAAATATATTTAATCATTCTTTTCATTACAGAGCATAGTAATATTCTAAATCTCACCCCTGTAATAGTAATACTTATATTTTATTTTAGGGAAGCTATGCGAAATTACTTAAAAGAGCGAGGGGATCAAACAGTACTTATTCTTCATGCAAAAGTTGCACAGAAGTCATATGGAAATGAAAAAAGGTAAGGTTATTGTTTTTCTGATGGGTAGTTAATTGTAGCTATCATAAATTTGCAAGTGATGTATTAATATACAAGTTTGAGGATGGTTTCTTTTATTGGGTTGCTTTGCAAGTACCAAATGAAAAATAGGGGATTTGTCTCTATTGAAGGGGAGAAACTTTAGTAAAGATCATCTGGCTAGGCCTCTGATGTTATGAAATGAAATAATCCATAATTTGCCGGGTTGGGGGGCAGCCTACATGATATTCCCTAAGTATTTCTGTGGTGCATTAGCTCATTCAAAAAATAGCTCTCGGGCGCCTGGGTGGCTCAGATGGTTAAGCGTCTGCCTTCGGCTCAGGTCATGATCCCAGGGTCCTGGGATCGAGTCCCGCATCAGGCTCCCTGCTCCTTGGGAGCCTGCTTCTCCCTCTGCCCCCCCCCCCCTCTGTCTCTCAAAAAAAAAAAAAAAAAAAAAGTTTAAAATATAGCTCTCCTTTTGGTGGAAAATGTAGTTTTATAAACATGTGACCCTCCCCCCCCAAAGTACTTTTGAAAAGGAGAAGGCTAAATAAACACCTGAATTGAGTGATTATAAAGCTCTCCACCTTGACCCTGTGCCTATTCAGGTTAAGAAAAATAGCAACACTGAGGTGGTACTCAGTTTGTACTCAGAATGTAGACACTACAGTATCTAGAAGTCAGATTTGCAGAATTAAACTATAACAAAGTGATCTTCATATTTAGTATTTGCTGCAGTATCTTATGAATTTCAACATTTGGGACTTTTGCTGTTTGTTTTTTTTCATTTGGTTGCTGGATTTTCTTGTTTGGGACTTCTTTGAGACTGCGTTAAGCATTTCGTGGATAAAGGCTGCTTGTAGGGGAAGATGAAAGATTTTTTCGATTGGCCAGAAAAGCCCAAACTGAAGTGAGAGAAGGAATGAAAATTCAGGTTTGGGTATTGGGTTGAAAGGGATGACTGGTGATTTAGAGTTTGTGAGATAAAGGAAAACTTAGCATAATGCATAAGAGGAGTGAGATGTAACTATGTGATTAATGTCTATGCTGGAAGAAAGTTAAGAGGTCTCTTTCTTAAAGCCCTCTCAATCCAAGCTGAGATGATGGTGAAGCTGTGTAATTAATAACTTTATCCTCAAATAGGATGAGCAAATTCAAGCAATATTTAGGACTCATACTGCCAAAGTGTTCTTTCTTATCATTATTGAAGCTTACTAAACTGCTGATTATTTTATCTTAATTTACTAATAAAACTTAGCCATCTGATTTAGAATTAAATATGGGAAGAAGTTGGTATCTACAGTTTGGGACATAGAGTCAAGTCAAGATAGTGGCTCCTTTTTTTTTATGAAGTCAATACTGGATATTCAATTTTTTTATATATATATATATATATATATATAATGAAATTGAATGTGTGTGCAGAGCAGATTGTTGTAGAAACAGAGCAAGTAAACACCCTAAATATTTGAAGAGTTAGTAGGCCAGCCTTGTACCTCATAATAAACCTGAAGAAGAAACACTTGCCCTTTATTCAGCTCCAATCATGGACCAGACTGGAAATGCCTTAGTGATATTTAAAAATTTTAAGCCTCAGAATAATCTTGTAAAATCGGTATGTTACAGTCCTCATTCTCTTAGGAAACTAACGATCAGAAACTTTAAATATGCACACGTTCATCTTAGTTTAGGAATCGATGGAGCCAGGATTAGAAGCCCTGGGACTATAACTCCAAATTTCATATTCTTTTTATTGCCCTAATTTTCATAGCTTTCCATTTTGTGTCTCTGGTTATGTACAGTAAGGCTTGAAGATGGAGGAGGTAAAGATGCCTAAAGAACACAAAGTTTGCCTCAGATCGTTCCTTTACCGTCAACTCAATGAGCCTGGGCTGCATCTGATGGGAATAGGAATAGGTGTGCATTTATTGCAGCGAGGCTGTTCTTTGGATTTTTGAAGGTGCATTTTGGTACAGCTGGATTCATTGATTAATTCATTTTTCTTTATTTTGGTTAGGAAATTAGGTGCCAGGTACTGTGCAAAGGAATCTTGACTGGGAATTTTGGAAGTCATTGTGTCATTTAATACTGACTAACTGAGGCCCTGCAGGGAAAGCAGAAAGGAACAGCTACTTAAAGAGTTAACGCCTAAGTCCAAATAAGGTTCCTCTTGTTAGTTACTGTTGAAAATGAGTACAAAGCTGTAGTGGCTTCTCATGTAGGTGATTTAAAGGTTATCCTTTGTTGTGATTGCCTTCGTTTTCACTTCCTCTCTATTTGGGTCTGGCCTGGCCTGTCTAAAACAGCAGATAAAGGAGAGCTTGAAGAATCTAAGCTTCCAGCTTCCAAAGACTGAAGAAATAATGATGGAAAGGCCAGAGTAACTACTTTCCTGTATTTTTTATATATTTGTATTATTAAATTTTCAGAGTAGACGTGTATTTGTTTTACATACGAAGGTGGAAACCTGTTAAAATTACTTGATTTTTAGAAAGGATCAGTAGTAGGGGACTGCTCAGGAGGTCCAGCGTTCTGGATGAAGCCTGGCCAGTTACTCACCGGTGGTGCACGCGGTGGAAAGAAAGATTGAGGCCTTTCTGAAAAGCCGCTAAGGCAGTAGGCACAAGGTAACCTGGGGACATGACTGCAGTCTTCTTGGCATAGAAAGTAAGTCCAGAGAATGATGCTAGAAATACTAAGTCAGGAAAATTTGTCCTAAAATGTTAAATTGTCCTTGGTATTAACTTTGGTGCCTAATAACAAATATTTATCTTTTTGGACATCTGTTATCCCACTGATGTTAGTGATTAGTTTTACTTTTTCGTTAAAGAAGGTTATTCTAGGTTAAAAAAATAGACTTTTAAAAAGATCATTTTGTCTAGAGGAAAATTTTCAATAAAGACAGGGAAACTACAGTTGACGTATTAGTATTGCTTCAACTTTGTGTCAGCGAAAGTCATTAAGCAGTAGTGAAGGTGGTAGAGATACTGTTGAGGCACAGTAAAGCCGTGTAGATAACCAGGTGATGCTCCTGAAGTCATACTGAGAATGTGTGTTAATTGAGGTAACTGGTGTGTGCAAAAAAGTTTCTATTTTGGTGCTTTTGGATTGAATAATCATCAAAGGATAATGATTCTGCAAAGGTCAGATAACGTAAATGATGTTTGGATTTTGTCTAACCTAACCTATTTTGTGTATTAGGCTGAATAAAAAGGCTTCTTTGAATCTGTAAGGTATTTTCCAGAACTCATCTCAGGGTTTGAGGAAAAAGTTGTTGAATCATTCTCTGAAAATAATTTAAGACTGATTTTTTTTAAACTAGGAAATGAATAACATTGTAAATGTGTGCATATTGCCACCAAGTGGCAGAAAAAAAGCATTGTTTGTCATAGTTGCTAGATAAGAGCCGTAGGAAATATTAGAAAATCAAGGCACATTGTTTTGTAGCATATTCTTTCAGAGCAGCTGCTAAACTCTGCGAGCTGACCACTTGTTGGTCAAACTTTTCACCGTTTGGTATGTATTCACCAGTTGCCCACATTCAAAAAATCATGGATTGCACACGGCATATAAGGTGTATTTTAATTTTTCTTCTGTTAATTAGGTGACTTTTTTTTTTTATCCTCGCTCCCTTGAATTTCCTTTCTTTTGTCTGTGTTCTTTTGTTGTATGTATGCTTATCTTCTGTTTGATGAGATTACTACTGAAGTCTGTGGAAATGCAAATCTGACTCATTAGCTATTTCCAAGGGGGTGGCAATATTGGGGTGTTAAAATATGATTTCATCAATGCATTATATAGAAATAGTCTGTTTAGATTGTATTAGACTCGCTGTTTTCTTATATCATGACTTTTTTGAATTGTAGAGTTGATTAAAAAAACAAGGCTAGTTCAGAGGCATTTGCAAAGAGTCTTCTTCATTTTTCTTATTTATTACATGATTGGAAAGCACTTTCAATATAGAATCTTGGTCCGAGTTTTAAGTGATAAAGAATAGCTTGCCAGCCTAATTTTATACCTTGCTTATGCCATTTTATCACAGTACTCTTGAGAAAACCAGCACTACCCAATCTTGTACAGCTTTAGCCCTTTTTATATTTTTCAGATGTGAAATAAAAGTATCTTTTATGATAACTTGTTGAGGTTTGACTCCCACTTCTGGTACACTCTCCTAAAGCACCGCTCTTTGAATTTTATAGCTGGTATACCAGTTTACTAAGGAATCTTAATATCAGTGTTCAGTAGAAAACACTAATAGGAGACAAGTTTCCTAAATTGATGCCTTCTCAACCTCCCAGTGGTGTGCTAGCTAGGTATTTGAGCCTGTGCCATGGTAAGCATTGGGTGGCTCCCAGGGTTAGAGGGCAGAAAGATCCCTGGTGTAGACTTGAATTGATCCAACTCCAGAACTAGCCTGGCTGATTCAGGCATCCCTCCAAACTTGGAGTGACCTGGAGCTGAGCCCACTACCTCAGCTGTGACCTCTGTGTCCATGGCCACAGTGAGAGTATGCAGGCATGAAAGCTGCTCTGCTTACTTTTTATTGATTTAGGTAAATATGGGAAGACTCCAGAGGCTTCCCTCCTTACTCAGCTTGACTCCCCAGGGTCTGCTTGGTCTACTTACCCATTATCTAGGCTTCATCTTTTATTCTCAACTCCAGCCACAGTGGTCCGTGTTTGTTTAGACAGAGTCCACTTTAGTCCTTCCTACTTTAGAGCCTTTCCACTTGCTCTTCCCTCAGCTGAAATGCTCCTACCCCAGCTACCCATGGCTTTAGGTTGTGACTCAGGGTCACCTTTTTAAGGAAGCTTTCCCTGGCCACCCAGGTCGTCTACATTTTAAGTACCCTTTATCTGCTTTATTTTTCCCTCAGTATTTATCGTGAGCCAACAGAATATAGGAGTCATTTTACTCATTTATGTTTTTTGTTTTTTTGTTTTTTTTAGTTCTCCTATTAAGAGTGTGAATTCCATCAAGACAGGAATTTTTGTCTTTTTTTTTCCTACTATATTCACAGTGCCTGGTACACTAGGGGTACAGACTAGGGGTATGATAATTTGATGAATTAATTAATATCACATAAACCCAGCTCAGTTCTTATAAATGAATATAAATTGCTCCTAAAGTAGTCTTTAGAGTTGAGCAAAAAGTAGATGTTATATAATTTTAATTCAAGTCAATCAATATTGTAGTAGGTGCTAAGCGGGGGAGCAAACAAGAAGTAGATACTAACTACCTTTAGGAAGGGCTGAGGCCAAATCCAGCCTGGTGTCGTTTGTGTGTTACGTACGCACGAGTAGACACATGTACGCATTTTGTTGTTGTTGTTTTCTTAAGCCTGTGTGCTGTTGGCCTACAAAGTGTTAAAAAGCATAAATTAGTCGCTAAATTTTAAAATTAGGAATTTCATCTAAAATTTGATTTCAAGTCTCTGTTGAACAATTGGAGGATGTGACCAACACTAGGCCCACATGCAGGTAGTTCAGCAAGTGATTGAGAGGGTGTGTACTCACAGGCTTGCTATTCTCTATTGTGCCTTGTTATCATTCGAGTCACACATCAGTGGCTGATTGTCATTGCATTTAAGTTCTTCTTTTTCTTACAGTAGGCTTAAAAGAAGGAAAAATTTTCCTTTACTCATAACTATACAAAAAGTAGAAATTTCCATGAGGGCTGTGTGTTTCAAGAAAGAAAGGAGGGAACCTATTTCTTTGAGTAATTAAAGGATATTACGACTTACTGATTGTACACCTGGCTCACCCACTAAATTACTTACCTGGCTACTATTTGAGTTTACTTAGCTACTATTTGAGAGGGTATTTGAGTTTTCAGGCCCCTTGATGAGACATGGTGTAAATGTTTTAAAGTATGCATAAGCCAGTACGTATATTTGAGCAAAAGCAAATTATGCCCTCCATAAGGACTAGATTGATGGTCTGAACTGTAAAATAAGGGGCTTGAGCTAGGTTTTGAAATAGATACTTTTTTTTTTTTTAAGATTTTACTTATTTATTTGACAGAGAAAGAGAGAGAGAGCACAAGTGGGCAGAGCAGCAGACAGAGGGAGAGGGAGAAGCAGACTCCCTGCTGAACAGGGAGTCCGACGCAGGGCTCGATCCCAGGATATTGGGATCATGACCTGAGCCGAAGGCAGACGCCCAACCAAATGAGTGCCCCTGAAATAGATATTTCTTAATTGCTAGAGAGGAGATAGCAGTTGACTCTTGCATGACATTGGTTCCATCTGCAGGCTCTTCTTATGTGCAGATTTTTTTCAGTTAATACAGTATAGTATTAAAAATGTATTTTTTTATTTTCTTAGTAGTATTTTCTTTTGTCTAGCTTTATTGTAAGAATACAGTATATAATACGTATAACGTACAAATATGTGTTGACTGTTTATGTTAATGGTAAGGCTTCCTGGTCAACAGTAGGCTATTAGTTTGGGGGGAGTCAAAAATTAGACATGGATTTTTTGACTCCATATGGAGTTGGCACCCCTAACCCCCATAATGTTCAAGGGTCAACCGTATAAGGAAGTTATTCTAGGTGGGAAGAATTTTTGAAGGCAGGTTTTTGGCAGCTAGCAAAACAAATCCGTTGGTAATCTGTGAGGTGAAAGGGTACAATGCATTGTTCTTTCAGTCATCCACTTGCACCAGGTGTTCAGGGTGTAATATATAACACATAGGAATCCAGTTGTTCATTTTGCTTGTAATTCTTCTACTTTTATTAATATTTTGAAAGTTTCTACTTTGGGTATTGCTCTCAATCTTTTTTCCAGGTTAATTACCAAATAAAGTATAATAGCCATAACAATGTCATCAATTAATAATATGTCATTTTAAGTAGATCTTAATAATTGTAGATTCTGCTTTGGTGTATCATCTTCTGTAACCTTTTAGACATTGTTGGATTTGCTGAATTCCAATAGTTCAGAATTCTGAGCTCTGTGAAAATTAAATACTCCCTGCTGTAAGAAGTATCAGATGTAATTGAATGCATAATTCTAGGATAGACGAACCTGCCCTGAACAAGTGTGGTCTTTGTGAAAGCCTTGATTTCCGTGCTCTGTACATGACTATTTACATTACAGAAGGCTTCACCAAAATGTTTCTTTAGGAGATTACTTACTGCATTTCAGTATAATTTTGTATTCATGTATTCGAAGAAAAGAAATGCTTTCTTGAATCTAATTGCATTGTTTTTGTATTTTTGTGGTGTGTATATTGTTTCAGGTTTTTTTGCCCTCCTCCTTGTGTGTATCTTATGGGCAGTGGATGGAAGAAAAAAAAAGAACAAATGGAACGAGATGGTTGTTCTGAACAAGAGTCTCAACCATGTGCTTTTATTGGAATAGGAAATAGTGACCAAGAAATGCAGCAGCTGAACTTGGAAGGAAAGGTAAATTAAAACTGTGTTGGTTCTCTTAAAGGGCGCCATGGTACTAGCTTATTTGTTTTTGTGCTGATGATTTATTTTCTTTTATCTCTTTTGGTAGCAATTTTCTGAACACCTCCCCCCCCCCCCCACAGACACACACAACCCTGCCCACCAGAGATAAACTTGTCAAATAGCTGTGGTCTAGTCATGAGCTGTGGACATCTAAAGGTGGTTAGGAGGCTAATCTGTCATGTGACTGACAGGGGGGACATGATACTCAATAAACAGTGAAAATACATAGTTCAGTAATATTTTACTCTCTCTTAATCTTAGTCTTATACTAGAAGCAAAGTGATAGAGATAAATTCTTAGAAGTATTTACCTGGGTTATAAAGATCATAAATGTTTTACTTAGCTTCTGTGTGAAGCAAAACTACAATAGGCAAGAACAGCCACAATCAGCTTTACTCAAGACTTTTAGGAATTTTCTTTGATTAATTTGTTAGGGAATGGAATTTATATATTAGTTTTACTAATTGTATTTTATGAAGTTAGAAAGTAATCATTTCAGTCTATACCTTTAGTATTCAAAAATAGTTCTTATTGACTTATTAGCATTTAACTGTTATTTTGTTTTCCCTTGATATTAAAATTTGAAAAATGGTTAGTTGTCAACGATCACATGAATGTCTTAAAATAGTACATAAAAAGATATTTCCTCATTCAGTAAATCTACTAAGTATCTTAGTGTTTGCTATGTTGCAGTTGGCAGTAGGGATGGGGGCTGGCAGGTAACATTGAAGGTGATAAGCTAGGAGATTTGTACACTCCAGTTCAATCTTAGTCATTTACAGATAATACACAGACTCTGCACCAAGAAGCCTTAATAACAGCCTTCTTCAAATATTTTTATGACATTTGTATCTTTATAATTTTTATCAGTAAGGCTTGTCAACTATGTATTTTTTAATTAGATTTTCAGTAAAACTTAGTAAAGGTGGTTTCATTTTAAAGGAAAATAGAGCAGTAAGAAATACTTCTAAATTATGACCCTTGAGCCAAAGTAAAGGATATTTTTAAGTGGTAGGTTGATCTGATAGGCCTGTCTCACCTGTTTTCCTGTTGTGTAGAAAGTCTCAGAGTTACAGGTCTCCAAGCTGTACATTTAGACACTTGGTACTATGAATTGACTATTTAGGTAGTGAGAAGCCAGGGATTGTAGCTAACCAGCGTATATAAATTGCCTGCTTTAACGAATTCCAGCTTCCAGCATTTTAAGGGAATTAATACCAAGCAAACAGCATCCCCACTTGCTTTTCCCAGCATCATGGCTTAGTATATCTTTCTTCAACTTAAACCATTATGTACTTTCTCCAAGCCCTAAAAATTCACACAAGACTAAAAGAATACCTGAAAGCTTGAGCATTAACTAGTACTTAAAGCATCTACTAATGGGGTAGTATAATGTCTATAAGCCAGATTTACTTGTTAATATTATTAGTTTTAATGAAAAATGCTATTAGAGAAGTCTTTATATAAAGTAAGACTTGTTGAGAATCAGCAGAAGGCATTCCAGGTGGAAGGAACATCATATGTGCTTGGAGCCTGAAGGTGTAAGAACATGGTAGGTGTGGGCCTATGTAGGCAAAGATGGCCTGAGCAGCGCGGTGCTGAGCTTCAGAGAGGGGCCCTTTGCTCTTTCCTGTCTCACTTCACCTCAGTTCATTTAAGGTAATACTCTTTTCTTTTAGTAGTCTGCTCATTGAATGGTTCAATTAGTCATTATTCAAAAAGAAGGGATATTTGTTTTGCCCTCTTGGGTATTTGTACTTAATATTCATTACAGTAAAGTTCTAGTATATGTAACACTTCGTATGGTTATGACATTTGACTCTGTTGATAATATTTTGGATCTGAGATTTCATCTAATGATGTTTTAAATTTGTTAAATATTCATTTCCTCAATTTTATATCTTACATAGTTGGAACTAGGTAAGCTATACAACATGAATTAATCCCTACTTAGCCCACTTGTGTTTTTCTTATTTTCAAAAATTACATCCCATACACCTCCCTTGCTAGCACTATTTGTATAATTCACGTATTTCTACAGTACTTTTGCAGTATTATATCTGGTATTTCTCCTTTCAGGGCACATGTTATTACTGTGGCCTGAAGATCTCATCTTGAAAGAGTTGTTCTTAAGTTAAATTGTTTACTATTTATAGAAAGGTTTATTTTATGCTGTTTTCTATTCTAGAATTTTGTTAGGTAATCTAGCCTTTTAGTATGACGAATGTAACTTTAAACTTTGTTTACTTTATTTTCTTAAAGCCATAATACTACTTCTGAGTAGTGACTTTTTCCCTTTTTTTTTTTTAATGGAATTTGAGTAGCTTGTGGTCAGTGGTCTTACAGTTTAAAAAAAAAAGAAAAAATAATGGTTCCAGTACAGTTATCCCAGGTATGATTATTTTTTTGTGGATTAAGACTACTCACTTTTGTAAAAAAATAGGGATACGTTTTCTTTTTTTCAAAGGGATATATGTGCATGTGCTTTTTCCAAACAAAATAAAACCCTTTGTGTGAAAGTCTTTTTCCCATGAGAATTTAATCGTTCTTCATTTAAATACACATTTCATTTTTGTTCCCTGTAACTGTCTGCTTTAGTATGTTGATACCCATTTTCCTAGACTTTGTCTTTTATGGTACAGAACAGTTCCGTAGTTTAGGCTTAATCTGACCTTCAGTGCTTCTTATTGTATGGCAAACCTGTAAGTCCTGCCACAGCATCTCTGAATGCTTGGAGAGCCCCGAGTAGAAGGAGCTGCGTGAGTGTGAAGTACTGTTGTTTTTATTTTTCTTTTTACTACTATTAACTTTTATCTTAATTTTGTCTTCTGCAGAACAAAGCTTCTCAAAGCTTTACCACACTTCTGAATTTATGAAAACTTAATTGAGTGTAAAATATTCACATGGCAACTACAGTTTCTTACATAACTTTGCTATTGAGAAATGAAATAAGCTGCGGCATTATTTTTGTTCTGCTACTAAAATTGCCCATGATTACCATTTAAAAAATTTAAAACCTAGACTACATTAGCTATTTTGTAAATGAGTGGCGTTTTTCCTGATTTTTAAAAGAAACACACAACAGAGGTTGTCAAACTTGTTTAGCCTAATTTTAAGGTAGAGCATTGATCTTTTAAAAAATATAACTCGTTTATTTTAAATACCTAAGCGGTGTTTTGAGCATCATTTACCCAATCTGGAAAAAGAGATCAATAATTTAGTTCCTTGCCTAATTCATAGGGATCAGGGGAATAGGAAAGAGTTTAGAATTGTCATATATATTTGAGGTAGGAGCAGTGAGAGTGTCTTTGCTGTTTTGCCAGTGCTATACCCCTGTAATTCTATCTTTTAGGTTACCAGAATTTATTTTCTGGTAAACTGGCATAATAACTTGCTGCATTTATTTTCTGTTACCTTTCAATCCACTTCTTTTTTTGAGTAAACACTGCCCCCAATGACGGGCTTGAACTCACGACCCTGAGATCAAGAGTTGCATGCTCCTCTGACTGAGCCAGCCACGTATCCCTCAGTCCAGTTCTTTTGATGATATAATATGAATTATCCCACTGGGCAAAGTCAACCGTTTTTTTTTTTCTCTTTAAATTTTTTATTGTTAATCACCATATATGTTAATCACCATACATTACATCATTAGTTTTTGATGTAGTGTTCCATGATTCATTGTTTGTGCATAATACCCAGTGCTCCATGCAGAATGTGCCCTCTTTAATACCCATCACCAGGCTAACCCATCCCCCTACCCTCCTCCCCTCTAGAACCCTCAGTTTGTTTTTCAGAGTCCATAGTCTCTCATGGTTCGTCTCCCCCTCCGATTTCCCCCCCTTCATTCTTCATTCTTCCCCTCCTGCTATCTTCTTTTTTTTTTCTTAACATATATTGCATTATTTGTTTCAGAGGTACAGATCTGTGATTCAACAGTCTTGCACAATTCACAGCGCTCACCATAGCACATACCCTCCCCAATGTCTATTACCCAGCCACCCCCTCCCTCCCTCCCACTCCCCACCACTCCAGCAACCCTCAGTTTGTTTCCTGAGATTTCAACCGTTTTTTTTTTTTATATCCCTTTCTGGCGTAAAATATTTTATAATTATCCAGTTGGTCTAGCATAGTTTTCATCAGACTTACAGGTGGTTGCTCTAGTGTTCAGCTGTATAAAGAAAAACACTGTATGCACTATTTTCAAAAGGACCACTGCTAAAATATTTTAATTTTGTTGAATTCCGATAGCCTTATTTATATGTTTTCTTTGCAGAAATACAGTCCTGGACTATTTTAACTGTAAAATTCTATTTTAAATATTTACTGCTGTAGCATCGGTAACTCTGTGATGTAGGCATAGGGCTATATTAAACAAGAAAAAAAACTGTATTAAAGCAATCTTAGGGTAAAATGGATCGCAACATTTGTATTTTATAGCCTTGATAAAGACACCTGTACTTTATCTTTCAGTAATTGTTACAGTTGGTTTTATCAGTTATTCATTGAATTCATTCATTGAAAACTTAGCCATGGCCATACTGAGCTGTAAGTACATAACCAACAAGGTTTTGGTGCTCTTGAAGCTTTCCTTTTCTTTCACAGAACTATTGCACAGCCAAAACATTGTACATATCTGATTCAGACAAGAGAAAGCACTTCATGTTGTCTGTAAAGATGTTCTACGGCAACAGCGATGACATCGGTGTGTTCCTCAGCAAGCGGATAAAAGTCATTTCCAAACCTTCCAAAAAGAAGCAGTCATTGAAAAATGCTGACTGTATGTATGCTTGAGTTTTCTTTTTTGCCACCAATTCCCATCATAAATTAATAAGACAGATTCAGCTATTTTTTAATTAAAAATCACTTTTTGATAACAAGTTCATTTTTTTTTTTAAGATTTTATTTATTTGACAGAAAAAGACACAGCAAGAGAGGGAACACAAGCAGGGGGGAGTGGGAGAGGGAGAAGCAGGCTTCCTGCCGAGCTGATGTGGGGCTCGATCCCAGAACCCTGGGATCATGACCTGAGCCAAAGGCAGACTTAACAACTGAGCTACCCAGGTGCCCCAGCAAGTTCATTTTTTACTAATGTTTTTGTGGCCCTCACTTGATCTGAAACTGTCACACTAGCTTATTATTGCCACTTTATGGGCTTCCCTTTTTTTTTTTTTAATTGAAATGAACAAGACCTGGTCTAGGGAAATAGTTCCCAATCAGACTGGGTTCTTCACTGCTCTCCAGGCACATATGGAAAAATGGGAGTTTTTTTTCCTTTTGCTGTCAGTGACTGCAGGGAGTGATTGAAGGTGGCATTGGGTGTGTTGGGCCAGTGATGCTAGATGTTCTCATTCACATTCCATGGAGAATTGATCCACAAAGAATGTCAAAAGCTCCTCTTTGAGAGACAATATTCTCAAACGGGCTTTGGAAGGCCATCCTGCAAACCGAAACAAAATCCTTAACATGGTTGCTCTGGCAAAGACTCCTGTCTCATGAGCAGATTTTTAGACTACCAGAGATAAGTGCTGTCTGATTAAATTATGCATTTCAAGCCCTACACCCCATTTTCTTTTTTTGATTTTAACTCTTTATGGTGAAGACTTTCAAACTTAACACTACTTTCTCCCTTTTACCATGGTGACCATGCACCTGGCCTCAACAGGTTTTGCCAGTTCGGTTTCATTATTTCCATGGCCTCTTCCTTCTCTTGATGGCTGGAATATTTTAATGGAAATCTCAGATGTCCTGTTCTTTCAACCACCATTTCCACAGTAGTGATTCTTAACAGATAGCTTTCTTTTTAAACATCAGTATACCTAAAAAAGTTGACAGTAGTTCTTTAATGTCATCTAAAAGCCAGTCCATGTGCAGATTTATTACAGTTGTGTTTTTGTGGGTTTTTTCCTTAGGGGTTGACCTGTTCAAACTTGGATCCAAATAAGGTCCATACGTTTTAATCTGTAATAGTGTATTCTCTACCCCTCCAACCTTTTATTTCTTCCATGTCGTTTGTTGAAGAAACTGGGTCATTTTTCCTTTGGAATTTCCATATTCTGAATCTGGCTGATTACAGATTCTGTTTCTCATATTTTCCATAAAGTGGTGGTTAAACTTAAAGACTTACTTTAGAATTAGCTGGTCTTCTGTATGTTCGTTTCCTTCAAATCGAAGTCCTATGATATCTGATCATCCCATTTTTTGTCCTATTAAGACTGTTTATAGTAAGTTGAGCTGTTGTTAGCCTAATCCATCCGTCCGTTACAGAGTTCCTCAGCAACCTTAACCATTGATGATGACTGCTTAAATCCAGTATTTTATGAAGGGCTTTTTCTAACGCTTTTACTCTTAACTTAATTTGTTAGCAGTTTGTTTCAAATATAGTCTGCAGAGGAAAAGCAGGATAAATGCTTGTTTACTAATTTGCAGAATAACAATAGTATTCTTTGAAAAAAGGGCCAAGTGAGGTTTTAGGAGTTTTGTTTAGTTTGACTGCTTTTGTTTTGTTTCATTTTGTTTTATTATGAACTTAACTGGGTTTTTATGTATTGGTTGGTGTTGGTTCTCTCAGTCATTATTACTGTAGTCATTTACTTTATATTATAGAAATTTTCAAACATATAGACAGTTGCATAATTACATGAAACCTCTTGTGTTCATCGTCTAACTTCAACAGTGATCTTACCTGCAGGCCAGTCTATACCCATCTCCCACCCTGCTTTCCTCTGCCTCATTTTAGTTTGATGCAAATCCAAGACGTATCATCTGCAAATATGTATCTCTAAAGATAGGGGCTCTTGTTTTTTTTAATATAGTTACAATACTGTGATCACATACAAACAAATATGAAACAACTATAAAAAAAATAATTTCTTCATCTTGGGGCACCTGGGTGGCTCAGTCGGTTAAGTGTTTGCCTTGGGCTCAGGTCATGATCCCGGGGTCCTGGGATCAAGCCCCACGTCGGGCTCTCTGCTCAGCAGGAGGCCTGTTTCTCCCCTCCCTCTCCCTCTGCCTGCTGCTCCACCTGCTTGTGCTCTCTCTCTTTCTGTCTAATAAATAAAATCTTTAAAATAAAAAAAGAAATAATTTCTTCATCTCATCAAATATCTAGTCGATCAAATATAAAATTGTCTAAAATGTCATTTTTTTAAGTTTTGTTTGAATAATTCAGATTTTGAATCTCCACCAGATATAATTTATATAATTTTTATATAATTTATATATATATAATATACATACTGAGTTGACACATCCTTGAGTATTTTTTATCTGTGGATTCCCTCTTCATCTCTCTCTCTCTGTTTGTAATGTGTTTATTCAGGAAACTGAGTAATTTGGCCCTGAGAGCTTTCCACATACTGGATTTTGTTAATTTCATTTCCTTGGTGTAGTTTAATGTATTTTGTAAATCGGTAGTGTCAGAGAGAAACACACTAGAACCGGACACTAGTTAAAGGTGGTAAAGATGGATTTTGTTCAGTATTATCACAGTAGGGAAAAGAGGCTTCAGTGTAGAACTGACCTCAATTCCAAATACCTCAAGGACAAGTGAGGATTTATAATCAAGGAGCAGAGTGAGGGGAGGGTCAGTGGGTAGAAAATTACTAAAAGGAAACATTAACGGTAGGGGGGTTCTAGAGGAGCCAGCTTAAGAGGCAAAGGCTGGCCTAGGTGATCAGATGTACAGGGTGGGAGATGGGGAACTTGGGTTCTTGGAGTAACTGGCTAGGCAGGCCAGTTACTGGGCACAAGGAAGAGGCCTACTTGAAAACAGGGCTCAGAGGAACCTGTCTGTAAAGTTTGGTCAGGTTTCATTTAGAAGCTTGGTCAGATTTAAATTTGTTGTTCTTTGGGGTTTTTTTTGTAGTTGCTAGAGGACAAAGCTTACTTTGTAGTGATAGTAGAGTATTCTTGCTAATGTCATGTATTCAGACTGTTTCTAATTCAAATTACTGGATTTTATTTAACCTCTAACTTTTTCTATTGATCATAAGTTTCTTATTGGCAAAGAACGTATTTCACTTCCAGAATATTTTCCTGCTTACATAGACGTGTTTTGTTTTGTTTTGTTTCCAAGAAATTTCATATACCACTATACTTCAGGGTATTTAGAAATAATCAGAAATCTCTAAAATCACAAAGGCAGTTGACATCAACTTGGTAAACTTCCTCCTAGACCCCTCTCAATGAATACATTCCATAGGATCAGATGTGAGCATATGGAGAGACACGTGTAATCATATAAATGTGTGTGTGTGTACATGTACATGTGCGTACACCTAAGGGAACCACAGTGTACAGAGGGTTTTATAGTCTGCTTTTCCATTCAGTGGTCTTCTAGGGAGATATTTTCTTTATCAAGTGCATTTAGATACACATTATTTAAATAGGTAAATGATATTATAATTTATTTAATCAATTTCCTACAGTTGGATATTTATTATTTAAAAAATAATTTCCCTTTAATGAACAGCACTGCATGAAACATACTGTGTAGCTCTCATTTAAAAATTATTTTTATGGACATATTTTATTTATTTTTTTTTAAAGATTTTATTTGTTTGACACAGAGAGACATAGTGAGAGAGGGAGGAGAAGCAGGCTTCCTGTGGAGCAAGGAGCCCAATGCAGGGCTCGATCCCAGGATGCTGGGATCATGACCCGAGCTGAAGGCAGACGCTTAACGACTGAGTCACCCAGGCGCCCCTTATGGACATATTTTATATCTTTAGTGTGACAGTATTAATGAGAGTTACCTTGACTTTTTTTTTTTTTAGGATATCCATTTGTTAGCACAATCTATTAATTATTAAGTTATAATAAAGAATAATCATAACTTGCCAAATACAGGTCCCTTCCCCCCAACACATAAATAGAAGCTATTTTTTCTTTGCAGTGTGCATTGCCTCAGGAACAAAGGTTGCTCTGTTTAATCGACTTCGATCCCAGACAGTTAGTACCAGATACTTGCATGTAGAAGGAGGTAATTTCCATGCCAGTTCTCAGCAGTGGGGAGCATTTTACATTCATCTCTGTGAGTACGAAAATGTGTATTTGATATTTTTAGTGTGAAATTGTGAGATTCTTTGATAATAAGATATACAGCTCTATTAAGTTTTGTTGTTTTCCTAAGTAGATTAATGAATTCTACAAGATAATAATTCAATCTCTTTTTTCACTCCACCGTAGTGGATGATGATGAATCAGAAGGAGAAGAATTCACAGTTCGCGATGGCTACATCCACTACGGACAAACAGTCAAACTTGTGTGTTCTGTTACTGGCATGGCACTCCCAAGATTGGTATGGCTCTACTTTTGCTTTAGTCGTGTGTAGGAAAAATAAAAGACACAGCATTCAAACGTAAAAATACACTTCAATTTCATGTTTTTTAATTTAAGAAGATGTATCAGTAATCATTGCTATTCATTATTCACAATTATATCCCACTTTATTATGTTTTTATGAATGCATTCTTAATGACTTTCTGTTACACTAGTATCTCTAATAAATTTTGGTGGAATTTTCCTTTTTGGTTGTATATCTGAACATGTTCGATAGAGGGCACTAAATAATTACATTATGATTTCTTTTCTTAACTAATACAGATACTCTGTTGTCATTTTCTGTGGTACCTGCTATGTCCCACCACAGGACCAAGTTCTCAGAAGCATTGAAATTCTTACTTCTTTAAAAATATAAGCTTGGTTTTTATTAGTTTACTCTCCTACAAGAAGATAGATTTATTGAAAAATTGTTATTTCATACTCAGAGAGGCATGGTGTTTAGGGCTTTTTGTTCACTAGGATGATTTTGAAACTGAAAAAACTGCATTTCTTAGCAAAATGAAAGCAAAAGCCCCTTATACTCCCTCCTTTATGTTCCCCCTCCTTTTCTGAAACAGTACAGTTCAGTTAAGATGGAGGGGATTTATAAGTAGCCCTGATTCAGGGTCAAGTTGGCAGACACAGTGTTGGGCTGTATATCCAGTTTATCTCAGAAATATTGTAAATATTGTACCAACAAGCTACAAAGCCAGCATGGAGGAGAGAACCCCAGTTGGAGTAATCCCTGATGTTTTATGAATGTAGAATTCACCAGACACATACCTTAAGTTATAATGTTTGCACTACTTGTTATCGAATTTCTTTCCTTTTCTCAATAATTAGAAATGACCAGGGGCGGGGGCCTGGGTGGCTCAGTCGTTAAGCGTCTGCCTTCGGCTCAGGTCATGGTCCCAGGATCCTGGGATCGAGTCCCGCATCGGGCTCCCTGCTCTGCGGGGAGC